AGGAAAAGGTTGCATGTGATTTGTGTCAGCCGGGCTGAGCGAACGAAGCGATATGTAGCCATGGATGCCAGGATGTGGCACAGACTATATATTATGGGCGCCGGGCGACAGTTACAACAATAAAACATTACGGATGTCTTGTCGCTCGTCTTGTTGGCCGACGCGTCGCTGGCACACGAGCCGAGCCGGGCCAGGACACGGTAATGAAGGATGCCAGGCATTTTCTTGTTATTTTTGTTTCTTTTCATTTCTTCTCTCTTCCTTTTTTTTTTCTTCTTTTTGTCATGCCAGTCGCGGCGGTATTATCCATATAGTTAATGCGTGTTGGCCGCATCGCATCAGCTTACAAGCCTTTTGGCGCAGGTAGCGCGCGCACGCACGCACGCACGCACGCACAGTGTGACGAAATGCAGTTACAGTGATCGCTGCTTGTATTGTTAGTGCAGGTAAGCGGGCATTCAACCACTGTAACTGTAACTGTTCGGGCTGGGCAGATAAATAATGCCTTTTGTCGGCTTGGCTTGCCGGTTGACTTGCAAATATCACGTTACGTATACGCCACGTACGGCACACACCACACCGACAGATGGCTACAGCTACAATGACAATGCATTTAAAATTCATTAATTGAGCACATTTTCAGCATGACAAAGACTATCAAAAGGGAAAATGGCAAGTGTGGCCATCGGAATATTCAACGAAATTTCAGATAAATTTCATATAAATTTCACTGAAATTTCAGCTCAATTTTTGTTGCACTTCATTTGGGAAAGTGCGGCTCGGCAAAGTTGACTTCACGCCGCATAAATTAATTGAGCGCTCAAACAGCAGACTGTCTGCGTCGCCGTCTAGCCATGCTCAAAGCCGCACTATCAAAAACTTGTGTGTCACATGGCTGACCGAAGTTCCAGTTGGAGTTGGAGTTTCGAGCCTTGGGCCTTTGGCTTGGCCTGGCTTGCTGTCTAATGCATTTTTCATGGTGCACGCTCGTCGAGCCGTGCATCGCACTCAATTTGTGTGCGTGTGTGTGTGTGTGTGTGTGCGGGTGGGCTTACTGATGCAATCGAATTAAAATTTATGACAAAACCATTAACAAAGTTGCCGCCACGACGACATTGGCAGCCAGTCAACCATTTGCCAGCCTGATAGAGAGAGTTTCGCCAGCCAACGAGGTCACATGCAAAACTTTGCTCTTTTTATTACGGCTCTGCGAGATCTGAAAGCTGGGACGGGGATCGCCTTCAGTTGTCGCTGTTGCTCAACTTTTTAAATAAATCGATGAGCCCAACGATTTAAATGTCGACTGCAATTAGCTTTGGTAAGCTAAGTGAGCAATACCCACAAGCTATTTATATACTCTATTGAAAAATGTGGGGTATATTGCACGTGTAACAGGGGGTAGAGAATAAAAAGGGAAGAGCGCTTAAAAAGTCACTCAAGTCTAATCGAAGCAACTAACTACTGACTGCTAAAAGGTGACCTCTGTGATACTCGATCTAAAGATCTCAAGTTAGTTTCTCAGCAAGATTTCTAAGTTTCTCTCAGCCGTTCGCTGCCTATAAGGACTCAAATTGTTGAACGATTTAAATGTACGCTCCTCTATTTGTGCATACCTCAAATAGCTTACGACTTGGTCGGAGACCAAAGAAAAACTGCCCGCGTGCGCTGGCATCTCAGACATCTCGCCCAGGCGTTGCTCCGAGGAGTCTGGCCTGGACTTGGGAGGTCTCTATCGTCTGGCAATTGCGATAAAATGCTTCAATGTTCACTCTTATTGGCTGAGCGTGAGGAATTTTTATATTAATTTATTGCTGCGACTCGGCGCTGTTCACGTGCAACGGGCCGGGGGGAAAGGTGGGCCGCCAAGGCGCAGACTGGGCAATCGGCTCTGGCTTTTAAATTATGAATTGAATTGGCAGCGGGCCTTGGCGCCAGGTTCATGGCAGCCTTTGGCAGGCCTTTTTCCTGTGTGCCGCCTGAACACAGTTTTTTTTCTCTTTTTTTTTTATAATATTTTACTTTTTTCTTTCTTTTTTTATTATTACGTTTGTCGGATTCGGTTTTAATGGCTTTTTAAATGCCAGCTGATAAATGGCCAGCTGCATGACAAATGAGATTTCCGCTGCAAAGTGTTTGGTGTTGCCTACTTCTTGATGCAGTTTGTTTAACTGCCGAATGCCCCACCAAGCACAGGCTGATTAATAATTTTGTTTAACTACTTGTTTCAATTGCACGAGTGTGGCACAGGTGATATACCCCTTAAAAAATTACTATTTAGCTATAATATTGCGCATACGCCGGGTATACACATACACACACACACAGAACTCACAAACGTTTTGGCATCAAAATTAAATGGCATTTGTTTCGGGACAACGGCAGCTAACAAGCTGCCAGCCAGGCAGCCGAGCGAGAATCGGGCAAGACACACAATACCATTTGCTATGGCTCCCTTTCATTCCCAAAGGCTTTGGCCAGCGCTCGAGTTGCCTTTGGCGTCGCCTTGACGTCAAATTCTTGCGCACTGATGGCCCGGGGGCGACGGGGCGCGCTAACGGAGACAGAGTCAGACAGTCAGCCAACTTTTCGCGTAATTTCACGTATTTTGTGCAAATACACTCAAATATGCCACAGCAAAAACAACAAAAACAACTTCAAGCAAACAAAACAAGCAATTTTTTGCGCATTTGCCTTTAGTTGTTTCTAGTTGTCGCACACACACAGACACATATAGATACAGATACGGTGGGAAAGAGAGTTTGACTGGGGACTGCTTTGTCAGTTTTTACGTAAAATTAAATTTTATTTATTCATACATTATATTATTTTATTAATGCGTCTGCTAGGCAATTTGCAAATCAAGCGTATCCATAGTAGACATGAAATAAAAGCAGAAAATAAAGAGAAAGAATTCTAGCAGAACAACAAGAGAGTGGAAAGGCTTGCTGAAAGTACTTTACGAGCATTGTTTAAATATTTGCACAAATAATATTGATTGCTTGGGAAATGCACAGCGTGCGTGTGTGACTGTGTGACTGTGTGAGTGTGAGTGTGAGCGGCGACTGAGCTTTTAAACTAATTGGGTCACTGCTTGGAGCTGACTCACTCGGACCCAGGACAATCACATCCTTCCGTCTGCTTGGCCTTAAAAGGCAAACAGCAAATTGTCTGCGATATAGCAAAAAGCGCAACTTCATGCGTATTTGTTGTCCTTCATCGAACAAACGTTGTTTGCTTTGAGCAACAATGACGCTGCACTTTCTTAAAGCAAACACCGTACAGCCAGATATCCAGTGACTGCCCTCATTCAATATTGATAATTCCAAAAAGGAATGAAGGAAAAAAACTAAAGAGCTTTTTAATGAACTCTAGAAGATATTAAAAATAAGACAAACACTAACTATTGCTGCACAGCTAGCATCTAATATGTATTTATGTCTTAAATAAGTCATTTCTGTTCTGTTGGCTTTAAGAGCAACGACAGAAAACAACAAAAACTAGAAGGAGTTTCAATTTCGTTTCGGAATTGTGACGCTGTTTGGATGGACTCTAAGCTGAAAGTGATTTGCCGTAACGATTGTGGCTCTCAATTTACTCGTAAAATTGTTGACAGCAGACCGAAAAGAAACAAAAACAAGAAGCAAAACTCTAGAGAAAAGTGATGGACTGGGAAATACCCTGCCTTTAGTATTTTCCATTTTAAGCTAAAAAACTGATCGCAAATTGGATAATGAAATTAGTAAAAATATTTAGAATTAGTTTGTGTAGTTTATCAGATCGATCAGTAGTCACTCCTTCTATTTATAGGCCAAAACAATCATGCCACCTTTAATGGGTTAAGGGTATCAAAGGAGGGCCGAGGACAAAATACTGTAGCATAAATCCAGGCGCTGCGGCATGCGCTTAAACTGATTTTTATGTGAGGAAAGGGACAGGCAGAGGGTTAGCGCAGCAGCAGCAACTGGTCAGGACAATAGTGCGTAAAGCAGGGGCAAATTGTCTATTTAGAAAAAAAAGGGATACAAGGTCAGCCACACAGGAATAACAACAGCAACAACAACAGCAACAACAACAACAACAAAAGCTACAACAGCAAAAATAGACAGTTGCGACTTAACGACCCTCAACATTTTATAGTCTATAGACGAAGTCTGAATAATTTATGCGCCATAAAAATGAAATCGAATTGCTGCTGCTGATGCTGCTGCTCTTGGCTGGGTGGGGCCTGGGGCTGGGGCTGGATTGGTTGCTCTTTTAAAAGGCAGTCATCAGGAGGCAATTTATTGCGAAACGCTTGGACATATGTGAGATTGGGGCGGTGACGGCTACAGGTAATCAAAAATGCGTAGCAACTCACTTTATGCAAATTAGTTTTAAATGACAACAGCGGCAAAAAGGCGAAAGTTTTTGTTGCTACATAAATTTCTGGGCCAACTCGGCTCACTGAAAAATAAATTAAATTAAATGATGTTGAAAAAGCACCGGACCCAACAAACCTCGACCGAAAATCTCCAAACCAAAAATTGTACTGGCTTGACAACGCGATAAATTTCATTATTGGGCCCATGACCCAACAAATATTTGTTTATTGCTTTTGTTTTGCTCTGTTGCTGTCATTGTTGGTGTTGCTGCCGCTGCGGCTGCTGCTGCTGCTGCTGCTGCTGCTGCAAAATATATGCAAAATAGCTTAAAATGATAGGAAATTGCAATGAAAATATTTGCACTGCAATTTTGTAATCAAATTAGGCTTAACAAAAACTTTGTTTGCTTTATTAATTTATCAACAACTTTTGCCAAGTGCCATCGCAGTTTTTACCTCCCATGCGACTCATGCGAGCCGAATTGAAATTGAAGCGTCGCGATATGGAATTTAATTGAAAGATAGTTTTCCGATACGCAAGGCACATGAAATTGCAAAAATCTCGCGGCACATTACGTGATCTTGTTACCCAATGCGTTTTTATACCCTCAGGAAACGGCAATGTGGTGAGCAGGGTATATTCGATTTAAAACTATATTTGTAAAAGGCAAGAGTTAGCTTATAGCACAAGCTGAGTGAGTTGCCCCTTTGTTGCATATAAATAGCATTGCAGCTCAACTTGTTGTAGTACATAGTATTTGCTAGTCCTGCGCTGTCAACTGCAAAAGTTTGACTTGCGCCCGTTGCCAATGTCTTGGTTGGCATGGTCGTGGCCTGGTTTCGGTCTGTTCTTCGTCGCAATCGCAGCCGCAGCCAAAGGTGACGTGACTCGACTTGAACGTGCGCCCCATTAGTGACATCTACCGTGGTTTCTTTTTAGGGTAGCGTGGGGCAGGGGGCAGGGGTATGGTGCACAATGTAAACATGATCATCATGCATGCCGCGCGCACCATTCACGTTGCCGCACGAAAAGTGGAAAATCGGGTTAACAGTGCCAAAAACCCAGACAATGGCAACAACAGCAGCAGCAGCAGCAACAGCAGCAGCAGCAGCAACAGCAGCGACGTCGATAAATCAGCAACAAAACACGCCCCGATTCTCACTCTTGCAACCCCTGCATCTATTCTTCGTATCACTTGCTGCGTGGCATGCCACAAAACGCAGCACGCAGGTCGTTGGGCTAAAATAGATTTAAAATTTATAAATTATGAGCATTTGTTGCAGCAAATTGAAATTTTACATTCACAGCGCGCTGATATTTCTATTCAGTGTGATTTACCACCTCTCACTCGTGGCAGCTTCCAAAATAATATGATGGCAGCATAATACTGAGCACAATGGCATGATTGAAGTCTGTATAGATGGCTCAAAGCAGGCTCAGGGCAGAGAAAAATAAACAGAAAGTAATTTTCAGTGTGTGTGTGTGTGTAATTATTTTACTTGTTTTTCATGAATTTTTTACATCAATTCTTACCTCCCATAGCAAAGCTTCTGGGTATTAAACTATGATTATTTTGTATTCAATCTTAGCTTCTTCAGTTAGTATCTGGGTACAGCGTCTTTAAGATCTAGGCCCCCAAAGGGCGTTTACATAGATTTTCAATTGGCAAAACATCTTTTGACATTTTACGCTGACATTTAAATTGTATATTCAACTTCCTTTCTGGAGAGCTAATAAATTATTACATCAATCACATCAAGTACTATTTATATGGAAATAACTAAGATTAAAACCAATTTGTAAACAGGAAATATATGCATATATATTCCCCATAAATGAGCTTGAGTAAATGATTTTCTCAAAATTAATTAGAGCTCAAGAGAATCCTAATCTTCATCAACATCCATTTAAAAGCTGTTACATGGTCTTTTACGTTAAGTGCACTTCAATTAAGACCTCACTCAATAAAGTTATATTTTGAAATTAATATTAACTACACGTACTTCCATAGAAACTGAAAGCAAAGCATTTTCGCCTACATAAGTTGTTTATAAAGTAAATACAAATATATTCCCAAACAGACTTAAATCCGGCTTGACCTTTCCACATGGGCCTTCATTTTAGCACCTGCTTTATGGCTGCCTCTCATTAAACCTTCTTACATCAAGTAATGTATAGCGATGTAAAAATAAAAAATAAAAAAAATATATACAACAGACGAAGTACTTTCATCATTTGATGGTCTGTGGTCTGTTAGCTGGGGCCGCCCACCTTCAAAGCTGGCCACGTCGATTGCCCTCTGCCTGCCGCCTGACGGACTGTAATCTGCTGTCAGGCATATGCAAATATGGCAGAAGAACATGTTGTTGTCAAGTCTCAACAGGCTCGCCTCGCTTACATGCACGCATTATGCTGTCCGAATAACCAAAAAGGCCAACGGCACAAATGAATATGCGGCATGGTCATAGGTAAAACGCTTTGTTGGACAACTCACGGAGAGGGAGTGAGTGAGAGGGAGAGCGGGGGAGAGGCCTGAGAAGACCGTAAAAATTCTTAAGATGCCTGCAAGGTAAATGCTGCCTCAGCAGCGCTTAACTTCACTTAAAGTTTGTGCCCAGCCACAGCCGCTGTGCTAGGCACGTGTTATGAGCATTTCGCTCCACCTGCTCGCTCCAAGACAGCAGGCAGCAGGCAGGCAGGTGTTGCATACACACCAAATATTTCAATAGAGCTGCGAAAGTTTCATTGACTTGACAGGTGGGGTGTGTGTGTGGAGTGTGCGTGTGAGTGCGCGCTCGGGGTATATATATTTTACAATAAGTTGGCCCAAGTGTAATTGTTACCGTTTAAATTTCCATTAAAGGACGCGCCTAGGCAAATGCGGCCTGAGGGTTGCCGGCAGAAGTTGAAGAAGCCGCTACACACAAAATATGTCACATTTAAGCTGCGCTTTAGACAACGACAACAATAACAACAGCCATACCCGCCACAATAACAGCAGCAGCAGCAACAACAACAGCAACAATGTAAGCGGAAACAATGGCGACGTTTACAACAAAAGCCGAACGCTTTGAATAGGCCGCCCGCTATTAACAAACCATAAAGTAATTTCTTGCTTTCCTGCACGGAAATTAGACATTTTGTCAAGGGAACACTCAACTTGGACGCTGACGCCAGCGGCGACGGCGACTGCGACTGCGACGCCAGCGTCAAGGATAACAATAACAGGAACAATAACAGGCTAAACAGGCCGGCAGGACACTCGGCTGCCAAGTTAAAAGTGAAAATATTATAATGAAGTATGTTGTTAGCTGTTTCGAGATTTTCCAAATGTATCCATCAGATATGCTGCGGAGGCTCAGCACAAGAAAAAAAAACAGAAAACATTTTATAAGTAAACAAGCAGCGGCAACAAAAAGTTTGTCTATTTAAAAAGTTTTTGCGCAAAAGTTATAAAACATGAAAATATTTCTTAATTATTTTTATAAACAACGGCAGCTACGTCTCGCTGAAGCAGCCCCAGGGACTGGGCTCGATTTTTTTGGCCAACAGGCCGCCACACCCACCTACCCGTGTGCCGCCCTCGGTTGTCTGGTTAGGCAAGCGGCTCGATTTGCGTCTTCGAGTGCTGTTTGTCTTGCTTCATTTTTGTTTTTAATTTTTTGCCTGAGGTCAGGCTTCTGTTTGATTAACATAAATACACGACGACGACTACAAGCAAAAAGGGAAAAATACCAGTTTCAATGCTCCCCTTCATACTCGCTCATAATACGAGAAGAGTATATATGCCTTCGTCTATCGATTCTCTCTTTCAAGACTAGGCGATTCTGAACAAATTACGCTTTTTGCCCCGTGAACGAGTATTATACAGTCGCTTACGCACGCCTACAACAATTTGACGAGATTTTTTTTCTGTCTCATGCAAATGTAAAAAAATTAATTAGCTAAACACAAAAAATTTAGAGAAATTATAAACTTGAGGCTGAGGGATGTATTCCGGAAAAGGTCTTGCCACTCACCTGCAAAGACAAGAGGAAAAGTGTGGCAAGGAGTTTAAGATATTTTCATAATTAATTGAATAATATATTTTCGGGCAAAAATGGAAATAAATTCTAAATATGTATAGATGTATATATGTGTGTGTATGTGTATATATCTTGTCTGGCAGTAATTTTGATTGCCGTTATCTGCATTTTATGATGCTTCTGCTGCCGCAGAAAATTTCCAAATGGTTTTTGATATATGTACGTCTGTGTTTTGGCCATGGCCATAAAATGTGGCGAATGGATAAACGGAATTTTTGGCGGTTGAATATGCATTTTGTACATTCATTCAGCTGCAACTTTGATGATTTATGCCCAACCAGAGAGAGTTTCAAAACAGCAAATAGCAGAGTGTCAACAAAATATTTAAACACAATTGTCAAGCTTTAAAGTGTTTTCTAGCGCTCCACACTTGAAGGCTCTATAGGAGCTATCCCTTCTATGTATATTAAACAATTAATTAGTTATATATTTCATAAATAATTGGACAAGGCTAAATGTGCCTATTGATGCCAATTAATAATGTAAAATGTATCAAACGAGGCAAGCTGCTATGCAGCTTAGAATGCCCTCTAGGCGAGGAGGTCTATCAAAAAAGGGACTTATTTTCCCTTTGTATTTTGGTATTTAAGTAGGGTCCGGTTTTCTGTTTCTGCTGCTGCCTCACAAAGCTAAACAATTTATTTGCAAAACAATTTTTGTATGTGGCACAACTTATTAACCCACCATCATCTGGACCCACGCTCTGAGCCGGCTCCCTCTTCAATTATGCCCCAAACCAATTCCTTTGTTTATGTGGATTTCTTTTCCTTTTTTTTCTACACATTTAATTTTTGTTCCTTTAATTTTTTTTGTCTGTCTTGAAGCTCTTGTTATCTGCGAGTGTTTGTGGCCTGCATATTTGTGCCATACGACTTTTAGCATTGCCATTTTTTCCCCACACACACAAAAAAAAAAAAAAAAAAAAAATGTGTTGCTTTTTTCAGGCATTTTCCGGAGCCTAATGCAGAGCTCTTTACCCTCTGTTTTCTGTTTGTTTGGGTGTGTGTGCTTGCATTCGTCCTCCTTTGCCAGCTTTGCACCCGCCAACAACAACAACAACAACAACAGCAACTAGGACAACGTTCGCAAGAGAAACTAATTTCTTGCCGTTTTCTCCTGTTTTGTGTTTTCGTGTTTAGCTCGCGGCTGTTAAGTTTTTCCCATTGTTGCTCCTGTTGCTGCTGTTGTTGTTGTTGCAGTTGTTGCTGCTGTTTAGCTCTCTTTTTTCCCTGCAGTTTTGCGATAGCACGCATTGCGCTGTTCGCTGCGAGTTGCTCAGATACCCTGTGCAACTAGGGGAAAGGGGTAGTTTGGGATTTAAATAAATGTATTTTGATTATCTTTTTTTTATTTATGTTCATGCACAAATCTCATTTTCTGGCATAATAAAAGTCTTATTTTATTGATTGATTCTTAGTATAAAGTGTAAAGATTTTTAAATGATTACAAAATTGATTTAATTTATTGTTTTAAAATTTACTTTAAATTTTACATGAAATGCAAATATATTTAGTATTTAATTTAAGTAAGGGTAGCACAATAGACGATAGTCCCACCTCACATTTCCCAGCTTTACTTCTCAAACACATTCACAACTATTTCAAGCGCATCGCCAAGTCGATCATGCCCCACTGTAAGCAGTTCGCTTGTTGTTGCTAGCTTGTTAGCATGCCATAGCTGAAATGGCATTTCCTGTTGTTGTGGCTCGACTTTGGCTTCTGCCCAGCCAAAGTCCGCCGGCTAAGATATTTAAATTATTATTCGGCGTAGACAGAATGAATTTGATTGGGGGAAAAACTAAGTGAATGTAGCCCGAGGGACTTCACGTGTCTACCCCATGCGGCCTTTGTGCGTTTCACCTGACAGGGGTCGGTGGAAGCGCGCAAGGAGGAGGCAAATGCCACCTGGTTTGCATTTGTCTGAGCGAGATAGCGGGCTAGGGAAAGAGATAGACAGACAGAGAGATACAACAATTCGTTGCATTCAATTTTCGAGAGAATTTCTTTTCTTAATTAGTTGCAGTCTGTTTAATTTATGGCATCTGCTGCCTGCCCCAAACCAAAGTTCACCGAGGCATGCAGCATGGCCCTGACTGTGAATCTGTTATGAATGTTCAATATAATTCACATTCAATTGCCATGGGTTGGAGGCGCCACATGTCGTTCACGTTGTTGTCGTTGTTGTTGTTGTCGTTGTTGTTGCATCCACACAGGCATAAAACTGATGGACAGCCAGCGGGCAAGCACACGACTGCGGCATGCAAACCCCTTGTCAGCGTACGCTACCGTAAACAAAACATTCATCAACATTTTATACACTCAACATGTGCCCGAATCACAGTTCTCCGCTCCCACTCTCCCTCTCTCCATCTCTTTCTCTCTCTCACTTTCGCTTGCTGCTTTGAGCTCCATTTATTTGTTTGTAGATTCGACTGGCTCGCCTTTCATTCAATTTGAATGTTCTTTGAAAAATCACAACTAATTAACTTTGCCTATGGCTCCAAACGAGAAAATTATGACGAATCAGTTTTGGTTTAGCTGGGAAAAGTGCATCTGTTTGCTGTGCTTGCGGTTGGGCGTGCCAGATGTGTTGCATTGTTGCAGGCGCAACGCATGTCGGCTAAAAATAGACAACAGATTTTCCCGAAACAGTTTCCGGTTCTTGCTAATGTTCTAGTTTATGGCCAAACAGAGCGACGACTCAGCTAAATGAGGCACAGCCGTAAACGAGATGTGTGTGGGTGTGTGTGAGTGTGTGTGTGGGTGTTTGTGTCAAAGGTCAAAGACAGCAAAGTAGCTCAAAGAAATTTCAATGTCACTTTGAAGCATAATTCATCTACATAAAAATGTAGACAGTAAAAATATTATTTATGATAAATTTACATATTTATTTTACTTGAAATCATCTTTGATATTTTCTTTTTCTATTTACTTGAACCTTCTCAACGCTCAAACCCTACTCACTGAAATTGTCAAAGATATTTCTTATTTATTTTCGAAAATACTTCTCTGTTCAATAAATCATTGTCAGATAAAACTTAAAAAATTACAAGACAAATGTGACACTTTTCAAACAATGAAAAAGAGCTTATGGAAAATACATAGAAAATTTGTATACTTTAAAGTCTTTACTTTGGCAAGGCTCAGCAGCCCCTAAGTAAATGTAAAATATTTTCGGAAAGTAATTCTTATTTCAATAAATGAATGTATATACAATATAATAGGTAAATAATATGTATATACAAATATAGATATTTGTTTAATTCCAATCTTATTGAATATCATACTCAACTCTAATTCTAAATTTCCATAATTTTTAATGTTTATTAATGAACAATTGCCTGACAGTTTTTGACTTTAACTATAACTAAAACTATTTCAAAATTGTTTCCCACAGACAATATAATATAATATAATATAATATAATGCTTTGCTATCATATTTAATTCAGTTTTACTATACGCAAAAATCAATTCATAGTGTTTTTTCACTAAACAAAAGAATACTTTTCAATTGAAGACAACATATTTAACTATGTAGAACGAAGTCCCCATTTTAGAATTCTCTAATTCCTTTGTTGCTTGTCAAATTCTTACAGCACAGCAGATTATGTTGTGCAAGACAATGGGGCAAACTATTGGCCCGGCTCAAAAGATTTTTTAGTGGCATCCTAATTGAAATATATATATACACGTATTTCTTTGCCAGCTGCTAGAACTAGAGAAGTTTGGCGAAGTTCATCGTAATTGCAACAACTCTGAAATGCCAAAGTTCATAAAAACTGAGTAATTTTTGCATTTGCCGTCTGTTGCGGCTGTTGATTGTTTCCCGGCAGCCGCAGCCATTGTTCCGAGCGTCTGCGTCCAACTTCGCCTCGGAATGTCGATGAGCGGGTAAATTCTTAAGAAACTTTGCCATCATCAACAGTGACAGGATCTGCGCCAGCCCTTGGCTGACTCGCCGGGCAGGTGAGGTGTCTGCTCGCTGCATACACAATGAAAGTATTTATTAAAACAAACTTCGCTCTATCTCTTTCAGTTACTCTCTCTCTCTCTCTCTCTCTATACTATCTATTGGTCTCCATTTCTATCTTTGGCTTTTAAAGCGCTCTGCACTATGGGCACATGCAATGATTGTGCAGCACAAAGAAATGTTAAGTCAGCGATGTGAAGCTAACAGCTGTTAGTGTTAACAGTTCAATGGCTGCATTTGGCAGGCACTTCAAGTACGTTAAACCTTATTCATTGGCCTAGTTCGAAATGAACTTCAGCATTGTTCATAGTTAGTGCCTTTTGAGCTAGCGATTTGCCCCACTGTTCACTGTGATAGGGCAAAGTTTGGCGCAGTTTGAAGCGGTTCTGCTGCAGTGGAGCGACTGAGGCTGTCGCCCAGGCGCATAAATGTCACTTAGACGCTCCTTGACGCTGGCCATGCGGCACAGACGCTAGCGCCCGGCAGCTATTGTGCTCGCAATTGCCACATTGCCGCACCCGCTGAGCAAATTGCGAAAGTGACAATTTCGACAGCCTCACAGTTACTCGCAAATGCATCGTCGTCGGCATCGACGGCCTGCCAAAGTGTAAGTGCAAATTCAGTTTGGTTTAATTTCGACAGTCTGTGTGGTCTATTGCCGGAGACGCCGCCACTGACCAAACGCTGTCAAGTGAGAGTCCTAGCGTCCTAGCGTCCTAGCGTCATTGCGTCTCCGTCGACCTGCATCTGACGTCGGCTGCGGCGTCAGCTGCGATCTTTATTAAGTTTTCGCTTACTTTTCGCCGAGTGCGACAAAAAGTTTTGCCAGCCAAGTTTTGCCTTCAAACAATTTTCCCTTGTTTTTCTACATTTCGGCTTTTGTTTTCTGGTAAAGATTTCACTTGCTGTTTTCCCAACACTCTTTCTAACCAGTCACACCAGACAGACGGGCAGATGGACTGACTGCCAGACGGACGGAACCTCCAGGAACTTTCATTTTACTAAGAGTCCTCACCGAATTTCTTGTCTATAGCTATTGACTCGCCCACCCGCCCCCCTTAAAAATATCTGTGCCACTGCACACTGAACTGAAACCAACTTGTTCAGAGTTTGCCTAAGTTTGCGAATATTATTGTAATTAGCCAATCGAGTACAGTGAACACTTACACTAATGTTTCAGCTGCTGAGCTTCATTGGAGTTTATACAAATTTTCTTATGCACTGTATTTTTCATATATCTCGTGCCACTGTAGCACATTTGTATATTTAAGTTGTTGCTGCTGTTGTTGTTGTTGTTGGGAATGCCGGTAACTGGGTTTATTTGTTCTCTGCAGCAAATATGCTCGATTGCATTTGAGTTATTGTTTGTGGCGCAGTTGACAGGCTCCTTCCAGGACAAAGTCCGGAAGCTGGACGTTCAGTGGCGCCTTCATACCCCCGCCGCTTGACTTCTCTCTCTCTATCTCTGTCTCCCTCTCTCTCTTTCTCTTCCTCTGGTCTCTGTTGGCATTGCACGTTGCTTTGGTGCTCCCTTTGGCTGCCCGTGCATATTCAATATTTTGGTATTTATCTTGTCAGACAATAAAATAAAGCAAAGTACGCACATTGTAGATAGCTATTGGACATGGAGACCAGCATGCATGCACACATCTACCCACATATCCACACACGCACACACACACAGCCATACAGAGATTGGAGCTGATGCAGTCTCGAAATAGGTCAGTAGTGTCAAAGTTCTTGTCGCTGTTAGCTTCTCCGCATGCCAATGCCGGGCCACAGGAATTTACATTTTCGAATTTTCCTTAAGCGTCCATAAGCTGGCATGCAGTGACTACACTCGAAGAAAAAGCATGCTGCTCTTTAAGTTTAACTATACAACGGAAGTACATTTAAGGAATAGAAAGTTGATATGGTTCTAGAATTGAGGATTTTCGGCTGATTAAGTTTGATTGAGGGCATACATACATATATGAAATTATATTATGACTATAGAGACTTCTAAGATCTAGCTCTACTCTATAGACTACACTTGAACTAAAATGCGTAGAGCTCTACAACTTATAAGAAAATGTAGAGAGCATTTTCATTTTTAAACATTAGTAGGCGTTAACCCAAATTTTTTATTAAATTATTCATCGATGCTATTTTTATATTTTGTATAATATTTATAATAATAAGAAATATATTTTATATAAGACAATATGATACTGGAGGAATGTCGAGAGCTTGTGGACCAGCAAATACCAAAGTTGGTCAAGCTATTGCTGGAATCGGAGGTGGAGGATGAGACCTATACGAATTGCTTGAAATCTGCGCTCTGCCGCTTGGAAAACTACGCGAAGCCCTTAAATACGGCGGAGAGTATCTCTCAAAATCTAGGCGACTTTTTGGATCGATATGTGTGCGAACGTCTGGAAATTATGGCGCACACTATTAAAACGCTCTGCAATGTGATACTCGACGATATCATTATAACGGATTGCTTTAAATTGGCTCTGCTAGATTTTATGCTATCAGTTAACTTTAAAGCTTTTCGCTCCGTTCGCATTCACTACGACGACTATATGGCTCGAAGAAAGAAAGTACTCAAAGCTCTGGCTGCAGCTCAGAGCACCAACTGTTTATCTGGCAGAAGAGAAATTAAATTGGATTCATACAGAGAAACGATGAGTTCGGTAAACAACTACACGTCAACATCTGAGGAAGACGTTCTGAGCGAGTCCACAGCCAGTTTACATACGATACGCTCGCAGGATATTTCCGATCAGATAGAAACACTGGCCATAGGCTCTAGTTCGGATGAGATCTATCCAAACCAGGAGCAGGAACCCATCGATCAGCCTCCGGCGATGATTCGTTGCAAATACCTGACCGGCAATCGCCGCTTCATTGTTGCATTTGGCAGCTATTTGCGTGGCAAGTTCAACAATGCGCCGCAGTGCTTGATGGAGTACGGCGAGGAGGGCTTCGTCTTACGTGAGATACTCTGCATGTTCTTTCTGCCCGGCGATTGTCACTTCTTTCACATTGTCAATCATATGATAGAGCTGCGTCCCGACGTCATCAGCAATAAGGAGACTAGGCTATTTATTGTAGAGAAGTTTCTGAGGCCCTTGCAGCATATGCAAATGATTCAGCTGTATATTAGCTGTAATGAAACGTCCAAAGATAATACCGAACGAACGGAGACGTTGCTCTGCCTATCGGCGGCATTCAGACGCTTGCTCAAGCCAATTGTGGAGGTGCTCACACAATTTGAGCGCAGCCTGTCCAATGATTTCGAACTGTTGAACCTGCGTGACTTGCGTCGTGCCACAAAGGCACGATTTGAGAGTCTTGAGCGCTTGTGGAGCTTGGCGGCCGCCACATACATGTCCTATCCGTCTGAATTTGGCAACGAGCCGCACTCACGCAGTCAGCACATCATGTGCAGTCTGGTCGAGCTGACGCTGCAGACATTAACCTCAAAGGATCCGGCCAAACGCGCCTATGCGGCCGCTTTGCTGTTGAATGAGCTGCAGGTGATTTGCCGCTTCCTCGACTCTTGGTGGCAGACGGGTGAGTTCAATGACTGGCTCGAAGAATTCGCTGCTATGAAATCGGAGAAAAATTGCAGAACGGAATACACGATGCGCCCGTACCACTATGGTCAGCCCTATATGAAAATCTGTAGGATCTATAGGATTATAAAGCGACATATCGAGTCAGCTGGACTAGCACTCGCCGCTCTATACGATTCGCAGCGATTGGTGGACTTTGTCAGCGAGCATCAAGAATTGCTGGCAATCAAACTGCATCAAGCAGTTGTGCGTTCTATGAATGAGGAACTCAGATTTTATCAAAGGCACCCAGAGTCGCCTGTCCAGGCAGGTCGTGATATATTTTGGCAGCTCAGAGCAACCGACGACGAACACTTGCGCAGCCTGTACTATGCCTATTACGAGGAGACGATGTCCGACTTAAACCAGCCCGAGTTCTGCAGCATCGATGAGCTGCTGAGGCGCTGTCAAAACTGTGTGGTCTATACGCCGTTCGCAGAGCTCATCTGCCAGACATTTGAACACCATTTAGAGCAGCGTGCTCTGCTCGTAAACAGATATGTGAATTATCTTATCCAGGATCGACTTCAATTGGCCAAAGTATTTGAGAAATTGCGTGCGGTCTTTTTGCTACTCAATTTCAACGAGTTTGATGAAGAGTATTCACTAGCATATGGCTATCTGGAAAATGGATTGATTGTCAAAGGTGCTGAGCAGCTGCAGATCATTATGAATAAGTATAATTCTGTGGAATTGCTCCGAAATGATCCATTTTATGTGACGCTGCCCATTACCAATATCGAGCAGCTTGCACTGGCCTATAGCTGCAATAAAATGTTGACCAGCATAATTACAGAGCCACAGATCAAAAGCTACAACGAGGCATTTCGCCTACGTTTACAGCTGTATGTGACGGTGTATCGAGTGCAGCAGCTGCCACAGCTCTATAGTGATCATTCGGTGGCCGGCTCTCTTGCTGAACTGCAGGACACAGTGCTGCAGGCTCTGGACAAGCACTTCAGAATGAAGGCCCTACAAAAGGCTGTGGATCAACTGGATGAGATTTTGCGACGCTGCGAGAAACTATCGCACCTGCAGATAGCGCATCAGGAATTCGTAAGGCTGATGGTAGCTAGCCTAAAGCTAGGCGTCTACCGTTCGCAGCACGAACTGCAAGAACTGCTGGCAATGGCACGCATCGTTATCTGCCTGTGGCGACGCGTTGAATACGTACTCTTCTACAACATCACAGAGGGGGACGAGGGGTGTGCCTTTGATGATAAGTATGATGCTCATAATATGACCTATTTAATGTCTGTGACGACTGCTACGAAAGCCATGCGCTGCCTGCATCCGTTAAAGGATATTGTCAAATAGATAACTCATACGAAAAATGCTAAAAAAAATGAAAAAAAAAAAAAAATCTGCTTAAATCTCTTCAACTGCATCAGCAAATCCGCAAATAAGTTTTTATCAATTTTCGGTGTGCGTCGCGCTTTTGTGACAAAAGCCGCAAATTAAATCGTTTTGGGCTGCCTCCACGCAATTTATTTGTAGCGTGCAGCCAAAGCCGCAAGCGCCACGCCCACTCGCTTAAATGAAAAAAACAAAACTCGCTGAAATTAGAGCTGGCAGCTGGGCAAGCTCGACTGACTATACCAAATCACATGCAGCAACCAAAATGATTCAACGGATTCTGCGGCCGCAGCGGTGGCTGCAACACACACACACACACACACACACACACTCAAATCAATATAATATATGTATATATTTAAATTGCCAGCGCCTTGTTGGCCAATAAATAAAAAATAAATATATATGTGTATGGAAATAATTTCATTGACTGGCACCAAGTGTCATAAATTGTTAGCTCAAAAGGCTGGATCTGGCTCATTTTTGGTTTTTGTATCGCTAATTACAGTTGAAATAAAAATGTTTTACTTGTAATGAATTTGGAAGGCATATGCAATATATAGGAGGGTAGTTTAAGCAAAAGATAACATAATAAAATATATAGCACAAAGTGTAAAATAAAATCGCAAAATAATTTATACCAAAATTTAATAAAATATATCATTAAAATTTATTTATTTATTAATAGATTTTTTAAAACCTTTTTAAAAATATAAAAATATTAGTATAAAAAAAAAAATATTGAAATAAAATTGTTTATTAATTTTAGTTAGTAAGCAATTTCTAAAAATTTAATATTTAATTCAGTTTAATAGATCTCTTCTAATAAATATTTTATTTCATAAATGAATTTCGTTATCCCTTCAAGCCACCCTCGCGTATATATGTATATCAGCTTGTCTGACTGTGATTCGTTTGCCTGTTTTTTACGATTTGAACGCCTCAGAGATCGCCTGCTTTATGCGTCTGTCTGGCAAATAGAAAGCAGCTCGTAAAATTTGTTGGGTATATGTGTGGCTGTGTGGGCGTGTGGGTGGGGAAGGGATGTTGGACAGGTTTATGTGTCGGAACTAGACGTCGTTTAATGCGTATATGCATTTTTCTCATTAACTTGGCGGCCATCTAACAAATAGATAAGCGTCCCGTAGCGCTCGTTAAATAACAAGAATAAAGCTTCGCATTTCAAGTGCCAACAAAATGTTTGGGCTTTAAACTACAGTGAAACTGAGAGCTAAACTGAGATTGCAGACAAATTTTTATGTGGTTGTATGAAGTAAAAGTAAATTTCTTGAATGCTCTTTCGCATGATTCATTCATGAATGCAAAACGTAGTCTAAATGCTAAAGGAGTATACAAATACGCGTTTGGATTAGGCAAGAAAAATACTTTTTATACATACTGTAAAGTCTGCGTAGTGAAAATGTAAGAAAAAAAGACCATTAGACTAAGACCTCAAGGAACTTTGGTAGTTGGAAAATGTAAATATGAAATGAAGGAAATTCATAGTAAAATATGTTTCTATTTTCATTTGCCTGATTTAATTCTATATTTTTTCTCAGCGTCCATTAACTTTATTATTTTGTGGGAAAAATAAATATTATATTTACACAAAACTTTATCTCAGATCATTTTAAGGCATGAGTAAAACTAAAATCTGCATACATATAAATAAATAAAATAAATAAATATTCATAAACACTTTCTTTTATTTATATTTCATGTTTTCAACAATAAATTTATACATTTCATTTAAATGCGTAGATGAAAATTCTACATTCCATTTTATGTATATTAAATTCTGTCTGTGCGTACTTTTCAATACGTTCTCTTGTGTATAAGCTCTACAATTATTCAAAAAATAAACAAGAGCCGGTGTTCACATTCTATTATCAGGATTTATAATGCCCTTTTAATGTTCAGCCATAAACAAATTGTTTGAGCAAATCTTTTTTCATTTGATGTCTAACCAGAAAACCATTTTTCCTTTCTCCTTCTATTTTGTTATTGTCGATTTGCAACTTATTTGTATAATGTATTTGATAGTTGAAAAAAAAAAAGTAAAAATAAAAAGGTAGTTCGAGTCTGTGTAATGCGTGAAAATATTTTCATTTACTTTGTGCCCACATTTCGACCACTGCAACCGCATTCGCAAACATTTTAAATACCTTTTTGCATTTTTGCTATTAGTTTTCATTTGATTGTTAGCTATGGTTTTTATTATATTTGTATTTTTATTTCCGTTCTATTTTTTATTTTGCAACATTTTTGGCATTGTTGTGTGCTGAACTTAGTAGAGATTTCGTTTGTCTAGATTTATTTGATTTCATTTGCACAGTAAAAGAACTTTTTCAATTTCAGAGAGCTGAGCGCTTCCATATCCAGCTCTATATTCAAATTTCAATTTGGTTTTCACAGTTTTTTTTTTTTTTTTTTTTTTTTTTTTTAGTTTTTTGTGCTATGAGCTGGCTTTGTATTGCCTGCTGTCGGATATGCGTTCTGTTTGGTGGCATTTTATTAAATAATAAAAATTCTAATTACATTTTTTATTGGAAATACGAAAAATCATGCGGTTCATTGAGCGCTTCGAACGCATTTTCCCAGCTATCATTTCCTGTACTGACTCCTGATTTAATGATTTTTCTCACAGCACCCAGTTAAGTAAATAGTAAATAGTAAATATTTACTCTTAACATCTGCCCTGTCGCCTTCGACGCGTGGCTCGTGCTGCATTTCAATAAAACAATCAACTGTCAAAAAATATAAACACCGGACAGCAGGGCCGGAATCGGATGAAGCTTGGCTTCGACTGCCGCAGGCCGGGCCCCAACGACCACCAAAGTTGATTTGCATGTCATTAACAGGCAGCAGTCGAAATGGAATCACATCGAAACCGAACTGCAGACAACTAAAAATAAATCCCTGTTGATGCGGTGGTTGCTGCTGCTGCTGCTGCTGTTGTTGCTGCAGTGACTGCTGCTGTGGTTCTGTAAACAAGTCGACACTAAAAATATCACATGTTGCCCCCCAACTAATTAGTAGCTGTGCCTGATACCAGTCGGGCCTAGCCGGCTGGGATCTATCTCAATATTTGATTCCACACACACATTTTGTGGGAAACTTTTTGGACACGCCCCATAAAGAGCAAAAAGACAAATGATTTTCTGCATTTGGTTTGATTTCTGATTTTCCCATGAACTATAGAGTGATGCTAATTATGAATTTCGTCATGTCGTTTGTTTGTGTGAGAGACAATACAAATTGTGAAGTAAAATATGTCATTAAATTGAAAGTAATAGGAGCTGAAGCTAGTGAGAGAATGGGGAAAGGAATCAATTGGAAATAGAGTAGACGTATAATTTAATACACGTACTAACATACTCTGAGGATGGAACAAAATGATACCAACTAAAAATTTGTTTTTTTGGAATTTCTTGAGCAATGTTTTAAGATAAGATAAATATTTTTTTTTGTAGATTTAAATTTAGACTTAAGCTAAAACTTTAACGCTACAATAGACATAGAAATATCATAAAATATTTTCATATGCCAAGTACTTGAACCCTCAATATTATATAAACTATAAGCTAGCAATTAAAGCGTCCCTCAATAAGGTCAAAAATCATTTTACAGTGTCATACACATAGCTAGTCCTGCCAAACTGAAAATTAAAGAAATTGTTTGGATGTATGTGCTACAAGAATCCTTCTGCTTCATATTAGCTACGGACTATGAATTCTGTTTTTCAATTTTACCAAAAACTTCATCAAAACGTGCCCCAGAGTCAGGTTGATAATCATGTAAAATCAAAGTTCACCCAATAAGCAACGAACAAAAACAAGAAGGTGCATCTACATTGTAGATGGAGGGTATAGCCTTTGAAATTTATGGATTTGCATCAGTTTTTGGTTTGCATTGCAAATGTAAACAGTGCTGTAAATGGCAGATAGGGAGAGAGAGAGAGGGAGGGAGATAGAGAGAGAGAAGCAAGCAAGACTAAGATAGCGGCACACATGGCAAGGAGGCAAGTGTAACCAAGGATTACTCACAGACTTTGGATGCATGTGGACGCATCCCGAATCTGGAGTAAATGTTTGGTTGTAACGCCAGCTGCAACTCAGCTGCAAGTTGTTGCGGTTGCGGCCCAACGACAGCCAGCCTCAAAATCCCAACCAAAATTATTAATATGACTTTAGGTGCTGAGTTCAGACGCGTCTCCACCTACTGCTACTACTGCCTTCGGTTGTTAAGGAGGAGCACTAGCTGCTACTGCTCTGCTGTGGTTGCCAAGGCAGCCGACAATGCAGCCGACAGAACTCAATGCATGTCTGTTAGATGCATTTACAGTGACCCCCAAACCTCTCTCTCTCTCTCACTCCCTCTCTCTGTTTCTATCTGCCATTCTTTCTCTCCTTCTCTTTCTGTGTCTGTTAGACTTGGGCTTATGCCTTTGCCAGCTACTGGGCAAATTATGCCTAAGCTTTGCCTCCTCGCCCACCTTTATGGCTAGGCTCTTTTAAATAACTGTTTGCCGCCTATGTAGCTGTGTGTGTTGCTCGACGAAAAATTATCTTAGCTAGCTGCCATTGCCATGTGCACTTGCTGCCTGTTGTCTGCTAGCTCCTCGATACACTCAGAGAAAAAAGACTAAAACACTCTAATTTGATATATAGAGAGAGTTCATTAGCTGTGAGTTCATTTGCCATAATTGTATCCTGGATTTGAGCCACTCTTTCAGCAGTTAATGAGCGATTTATTGGTAAAGGATGAACGGCCGTTATTCAGTCGCTTATAATCGAGAGCTGCAGAGCTGCAGCTCAGGGTTTTCTTGCAGTGCATGTGCACAGCCTTCGTTTTGAACACTAAATTCTCTGCACATTATTTAGTTGTTAGGGCGGGCGGCATCTTTGTCTGTGCAACGATTTGGTTATCTGGTTGTGGTCTTAGGATTAGGCAACAAAAACACAA